CGCTTAGTTAATGTCTTAACCTAGGAGGCACTTGTCAAAGGCACTCGTCAGAAGCACTCACCTGGATCCGAGCCAAATCAAATATGGCGAAGCATGTGTATTCATCCGAGTTAGTCCATGTGTCTGTAACAATCAAATATTATACTATTTTATTATTTTTTAGGCGGTAGCCACTCTCTAGCCTTCCCATCCCTATAAATAAAGGGTTGGGAGGTATTTTGTGCTCTTTTTTTAGGCCACTAAATTTTATGATATTGAGCACAGATAGATTTTCTTACTGGCCACCTATCTCTTCCTTTCTTTATATGTTGCCTTAGCTAGCCTTAATAAGAAGGTCAAAATATCACCCATGGACAATTCAAAATATATATAACAAACACATAAGTGCAATCATGTATACCTTTTTAATTCTTTGACCAATAACACCAGTTGATTGGATCATTACATCTTCTTGTCTCACCTGAAGAAACTGCATGGCAAATAAAAATTTAAGAATTGCAATTGCAGTGAGAAAATTTGCCAAAATAATTAATCTGAAACCAGAAACCTGGGCAACAGAATGTGCACATTCTACTGCATCTTGATAACCTGGATTGCCCTGTATAATCATTTAAATATGTTAGAAATACCTGACAACCATCATCACGGCCAATTTGATCTTTACATAAATTTCCATATCAAACTAAGTAAAAAAACAAGCTTACGGTTGCAGCATTGGCTTGACCAGCATTAATCAATATTGCTCGTGCCTGCAAAATTTAAAGCATTTTAATTTTGATTCTGGTCAGCACTGATAATCATGTATGGCAAAAAGCCAAATATAGATGGGATTTTCATACCGTATTTGAATTTTTTAGTACATTTCTGCAGTAGATAACTGGTGCAGCAGCAACAATGTTCTTAGTGAATACTCCTGACAAAAGGGAAGCAAAATATTCACCACCTTATTTCTAAATTTTAAAGTGTATTGATCTTTAAACCATCAAAGGAGTCATATTAATAAACAATTTTAGAATCAAGAAATTTCAAGATACCCCGACCACGAATAGTTCACCACATCATATGACTACACGTAGGTACAAATTCGAAGTCACAAACTTCTAATTTAGACAATTATTCACCCTAGAAAAAAATCAAATTTAAATAAAAATTTCGGCAAATGATAATTTGATAGTTATCTAATATAAATCTTGCATAATATTTAGGATTATAAAAAAATCACATATTCAATTGAAAACTCAGACCAAATTGAAGAGCATTATATTGCATCAGATTTGATAATAATTAATCGTGCAAATAAAATGGTCACTAAATTAGAGAATCGGAACAGAGCTACACCAAGTGACAATCCAGGATAATTTCTCTCAAAAATTTGCAATCTCCAATTGCACTATGCGAGAAATAATCATATCCCACCAATACCCAAAATGGGAACTAAAGTAGAACTCAAATAAAATTGCAAACATAATGTCTTTTAAAAGTCACAAGCCCTTCTATTTATAAGTATAAACCCGCCAAAAATCAATAAATAAGTTGATAACCATATCTAAAAGCCTATAGAATAGTAAGAACTGAAACATAAAGGAGCAAAAATACTGGAGTCGAATAATATTACCATGGAAATAACTTAGATGAAACTGCAGAGAGCTAAAGGTAGCCAAAGGGTGGGAATCATTGAATGCCACAAAGATGTAAAAGAATCCTGTAATGTTCATCGGATCAAATCATCATGGAGGTGGCTAATTAGAGTATCCACCTCAATGAAGCCCATAAAATGAAGCTATCCTCGCCAATTTGGGTTATCAATTCATATAAATATTGAAGGACTTGTATTGTTAAAATTATGGAAAATATTGGTGAGGGTGTGTCTCATATCACACTATTGAGAATGAAGAGGGAGTTGCGAAAAGTCCATCAACGCTATCAGATAATCAATATGACATTATAAAAGAAAAATCAAGACTAAAAAGTGGACCATTTGATCAAATTTAAGATTATTGCAAGCTAATAATAAATTCACTTTTTTTAATAAAATTGTATTTGAAATTATATTGAAAATAGGATATTTTCTATTGAAATTACTGTTTAATTTGAATTTAACTAGTTGTTTATTTGTATATAGAATTTTTCTTTTTTGTTTAGGAGGTGAATCAAAACAATCTATGTTGCAATTGTATGCGTGAAATTCTGCATAAATAAATCATAAATTCTCTCCTAAAAGGTTTATTTTCCTCTTTTTATCGCTCTTGTTATTGATTGTTATTTTAGCAAAATATCACAACCCAGAGTATTGTAGCACATAATTGGGCATTGTAGAACAGAGTTGGTGATGCAGGACTAATTAAATGCAATGTTTATGAGTTTCAGTTAGGCTTTGCACAATTCTTTGAATAGAATAAGTTTGGAATAAA